AAAAAAAAATCACTCACAAAACAAGGATAATCTTCACAATACAAAGGCAATGCAATTTCTCTTTCATGACATATCTCATTCAGCAACCTTCCATTTGTAAACTTCCAAACTAGATCAAGTGAGAAAACATAGTTGCATAACAGGTGCCAAATTCCAAATAACTATGAAAGAGACTTACTTCTTCAGCCATTTTAATAACGACATTCTCCAAATAGTCTTCATTCACGCCTTTTATATTAGCAAATATTTCCAAGTGCTCCTTCACCTGAGTAAAGCAGATACAAGAACGATTACTTTTCAGCACAGGCATTGGATAAAACTAAAACAAAGAAATGTATATCAAGAAGTCACGAGGAAAGCTATCTTGCAGCATGAGTCTCCTTTTTCAGTCCATCAAAGCACATTTTTATTTGAAAAGAAAAAAGAACAACTTTTTCAGAGCAAAAAAATATTGCTCAAGAAACTATAATTCGTTCAATTTCAAAGGACTATTTTAAAGGTTTGATTTTGGTCGGAACAGCAATGTCGACATATGAATGGAAATCTTCTAATAATATGAACTATGAATGAAGATTCTATGAATTATACCATATTGGAACGAAAAGAAAAATTGAGGAATGTGGAAGTAGAAGATAATAATACAGCTTCCACACGGGCAAAATCCAAAAGAAAGAAAACAGAAACCAAAGAAAGTATTTTTTTTTTCTTTCAGAAATGTGGAGAGAAAGTGAGAGGTTGCAGGGGTATCCGTTTATAATAGGGAACATCACTATTAAAGAAAGGAATTAAAAAGAGAAGTTGAAAAAAAGAGGTGTGAATAGACCCTTGTGTTAAAAAAGAAATTACAGAGATAGAAATGCACGAGGAAAACAATGCTGAATAACAGTCAGTTATTAACCTCACTTGTCAAAAGAAGTTGGAAGAAAGAAAACATTTTGCATTCAAGAAAAAGAACTTTTCTTACGGTCAATTCAGGAAAAAGAATGTCATGTTGAGGACATACGCCCAAACTTTTCCGTATCTCATCCTGAAAAACGACAAAGTAACTGATGAATGAGAATCCCATAAAATAATATTTCCCTCATTCAGTGAGAATGATAAGTAAATATTTATTGAAGTATATAAGCCAACTAATAACCCATATATTCTCTTGTAGTATTAAATTATGTAAAGCAACATATGTTACAAGTTTGAATGAACTCAACGTAGGTTATCTGGGACTTGGAAACGATGCTCAATAAGAAGGATTAATTCCAACATAATCTAATTTTCCATTCTTTTCCTCCCCAACATACCAATTTCAGGGACTTAGGAATGATGCCCCATTTGTAATTTTTGTCATCCTACTCCGACTCCTCAAGTACTTATTTTTGCCATTAGTATTAAATGCAAATTGAAACCTTAAGAGTCACAGAGAAACAGGATAAAGTACCTGAACAAGTAAATTTTTGAAATATAAAAGCATTTCATATGAAACCTTCTAGTGTACATGTTACCATAAGGATGTACTCTGGCCCTTTGATGTAGGACAATCCTATTATAAATAGGATTAGGATTATATATTTATAATATAATAGGATGTCTAATTATAATAAATTTTATCTTTTTATTCTAATATTTTGTTTAGAATAGGATTTCTTTTTTTTATTGATTAAAATATGATTTCTAATTAAATTACGATTTTAATTTATTTCCTTTTAGAATTTAATTTCCTTATATTAATAGGATTAAGGAATAGTTTTGCCTATAAATACAAAGGCATTGTATATTTTTCAACAACAATCAATTATTATTCAATATATACAAGGCACGATTGTTCAAATATCATTCTTATTTATTACATAATTCTTATTACAAGAATTTCAAAAACACTTCCGCACCAATAATGTTAATCATTATTTATTTAGTAGACCAATACTAAATTGAAACATCGATACCACAATTGTAACGATCTAAACCTATAACCTATTTAGACCATTTGAAGTAGACTAATTTTATTAGAGCTACTCATGGCCCGACCCATTAGTCCTTGGATAACTTTTTGGTTGATAGCCCATTTATTCATTCCTATCAACTCTTGGGCATAACTACTGTTTAACCTAAAAGCCCACCTAATTGTTATGTATGTTGGCTTCCGTCTTTTGGCCTTGGTGTGTGAAAATATTATTTGCTAGCCTACCTTTTGACAGAAAGAAACCGGCTGCAGTTTTCTGGCTTCGTGCTTCCTCTGTGTAGCATTTTTCTTCTATTCTCTTCCAGCCTCTGTGGCTAATTCTTGTGGCTGCAAAAATAGTTCATACCATGTCCTTTGTGGGCAACCAAGCAACTGGAGTGAAGGGGTGATTGTACGAGTGTTTGGGTCTTGGAACTTTGTGGTTCGATTCGGTATTATAGTGAAATACTAAGCCCAGAAGATTTGGTATCAATATTCTGCTCAACAGGATATACTATACCTCCTCACTGAAACTGAACGCTATGGTGCGTAGACCAGATGACATCTCAATTGGCCCAAGTCACAAGTTTGATGTACTGAAAGAATATGCATAGGTTGACAGATAAATACACAAGTGCCTAGAGGGGAAGTTTATATTATTGTTACATACCAGACCCTCAATAGAATATCTTTTTGGGTGTAGAAAGTAATTCAAGTTCAATTCTAAGGAGATATGATGTAGGGATATGCACCCACTTTTCCCAAAAGCTATAGCTGATACAAGAGGTGCAATCAAACACAAGATCATGCCCAAGAGTCCATCCCAAAGACCATTCATATGGACTTCATGTTGAATAATCTCTTACGAAATAGGCACACCCTCACATTCAAGTGATGTTCCACATCATTATTCTCTCAAGAGAATCGAACACAAGACCTCTGGATCTGACAACGTAGAGCATCTGATGTAGTGAGGTGCAACCACTTTTCCCTGATAAAAACGTAATAAAGCCCTTTATCACTTAGGATCTGGCCTGGGAATCCACCCCTAAGCCCTATTGGGCTGATATGCATTCCCCACATATCTACAGAAAGTCCAGCAACGGACATATTGACTAAGAGACTTTCAAATCACTTGTTTGATGCTACTAAAAGCAAGCTGGGGATAATAAACATTTATTTACATGATTGAGGGGGAGTGTGAGAGAATCTTCCATCCTGTATAGGAAGATTTGGATTGTATAGCATAGAACACTTCAACATAAAATAGCAGTTCCGTTTTCCTATTCATCCCAGCAAAAAATAAAATAGCAAATTTTAGCTGGGGGCTCCATAAACAGAAAATTTACCAATAGTACAACAAACAATTGAAGCCTCCAATTTATAGCTAACATCTTAGCAATCTTAAAGAATTGCTCCCATTTTTCGACAAACTAGTGAAAAATAGGTCCTAGATCATGTAAAGTCCCCAAAAAAAAAAAAAAAACATAAATAATAATAATAATAGAGTAGAATTAATTATTCTATGTGTTATATATTTTATATTTTGAAAAAGTTGGGGGACTAAAATGATACATTTATTAAATTCAATTTTATTTGGGTCAAATTTAAATATTGATAGTGTACCGATAAATATATCAATATTGGGCTGGTCAGATAGCTCGTAATTAATTATGTATAATAGGCTCGAGAAAAAGTCGATTCGAATAAGTTAGACTCAAAATATTGAAGTTTATAAACTTCGTCACTTAATGGTATTTGTTTAGATTTATTTTTGAATTTATGAAGAATGTTGTAGATTAAATAAGGATAGGGTAAAATAGTTTCTTAAACCCTGTTTGAGTCATCTTATTGTAGAATGAGAATGAAAAATATAGCCTTTATTGGGGCTCACACAAGAGATGCAAAATTTGAATTTAAATGTTAATGAGATGGATAACGATCATATTTTTCATTTTAATGAGATAAAAGGGTAGCCCAAACAGGGGCTTAATTTTTTTTCTAAAATTGTATAAATGTTATAATATATTATATTGGACACTTTCTTAATATAGTACACGGCATGTCATCATTTGTGCCACCATAAGAGCAAATTGTTTTTATTGGAATTATGAAGTTGCCTTTTAATTTTCAAATGCTCCTCAAGCATGTGAGTAATTTTAAAACCAATATGGAAAATACGTGTAATAGAAGAATTATATATGGTTATACGGGAATGATTGTTGTCTTCCTTAAACAAATGCTCCAAGTTGAGAATAAAAATAAATGATATTTTTTTTACGTAGTGGAACACGCATATAGACATGGCTACAGAGGATTTTGTGAATGTGAAATTCTTGCTTATCTTCCAACAATTCTTTTTATCAATCAAGGTAGGACTATGATGTGTAAGTATTTGTCCCGTTAATTTATTTTTCATGTTGATAAATATTATGTTAATGAAAGTTACGATATGATATGAAATGGTCATCCGGTACCAAAGATATGATATATTATGAGTTCTTATCGGTTTTCTAAATATATGATATGATGGTATGATATTTTTTTTGCATAATTTAATATTTTATTTGGGATCGCACCAATATTTGTATCATACTGAGTATTTCCCATACTCACCCATTTCCTACCCTACCGCACAGGTTAGAACAGAACATTGGTTGGCAGACGATGAGGTGCAGTCGTGGTACCAAGATTTATGGAACTCAATAAAAGATAATCCGGTGTAACAAGGCATTTTTTTTAAAAAAAAAATTCAGCAATTTCTTGATTTTATTTCGTAAGGATTTTTATTTAGAAATTTAAGACAAGTTTTATTGGGTTATAAATTTAAAACTGTGTTATGCTTTATTAGTGGAATTAACATTTTATTATTTATCTAATAAATGCGATATGCGTGGTTTTTAATATTTATTTGGTTATGAATTTTATCAATTAAATTGTGCACATTAATTTCATATATTTACGCTATTAAAGTTAATAGTTTTGGTAGCGATTTAAAAATTAAATTTTGGGTCATTACAGATGAGATACAGAATAGAAGTTTATCTAATGACTTCTCTCAGCTCCAGACCACCGAAAAGTGTCCTAAAAACAATCTGACAATTGACAAGAAGAATATCTAAAGTCCATAATGACTTCTCTTAGAAAAGAGAACTCTATTTTGTACAACGAATAATGTTAGACATATTAAAACTTCGAACCTATAAGAAATCTTACGAGCCAAATCAAGAGAAGCTGTGATTTCTAAATTGTAAACTCATATGCCAATAATAGTTGCAGCATATTAATCCTGGGAGCACAGGATCATACCTCTGACAGAACAAGGTGAGTTGCTAGACCGCATGCAAGCATCTCAGCACCATCCAACCTGGCACCTGTTAGACCAACATATTCTCCTGGTGGAGAAGCAAAATAAGTTAAATGATTGATCATAATTGAGACAAACTCATGTCCTAAAATATCTATACTACTGCATCATGCGGATAGTGTTTCTTCTGATTGATACCGACAACAGAAATAATAAGACATATAAAGTATTATATCATCAAATGAGTCCATCATGATCACAAGTGTAAAAGGAAAATGTTAAAACAGGCAAATGGATTTCATCAACTCAACCTCACACATCAAATCAAACCAAAATATGAAACATATAAATAGAGTGATCCGTTATCCAACTATCCATGCACGGTTCTCTCAGTGATGAGAAACTTTATCAGCTGAGAATACCTAAAATTTGACCAGATCAAAAGCTCATCTTTTTTTAAACGATATCGAGAAACTTCATGTGGATTCTTATAGGATTCAGATCAAATTGCATTTACTGAAATTGATATTCAATAACAGGAAAACAAATTGTATTTGTTTGTATTTACTCTATTGAACTGAATTAAATGAAAATGAACTACAAACTCCAAGGCATTCGAGAGACCTGTACTCTCCCAAAACCAATCCTCAATTTGTGCTTGAATGAAATGAGTTCTCCATACCCTCTTTATGTTTTGGCTTCTACAAATTATTCTGAAAATACCCAAACTACCCTCTCCCTAACAAATGTGGGGGCCTATCAATACCAGTCCTTGAAATTCACCTTGTCACTAAGGTGAAAATCAAGATACTGTAGACTTCAGAAACCCATACAAACGGACAATCTCCTTTGCAAAAACCACAACCATGATTGAAACTAAAGATGAGACTTTCTGCCCTAAGAATTTGACAAACCTACTCAATCCACCTAGGTCCATTAATATAGTGGTCATGAATACTTCATAACTGGTTCTGTCGTTCTGCCCAACCACAAATTCTGTATTAGGCCGAACGAAATAAAATTTAGGGCCGTTCGACAATTAAGAAAAATCATCATGTCAAACCTTATGGGGTGGAGGCGTAGAACCCCCCACCAAGGCCTTGATGGTGTTTTAAATTTAAAAATAGAAAGAAATTGAGAATTCTCCCCCCCCCCCCCCCCCCCCCC